GCTGGATTTGACAGAATTCTTAAGATTCCTATGGTTTTCCTATGATTTCAGCAAGAGAGCCCGGGCAGGAAATTTGTAGAATTTTTGTGAAAAAAAACATTGGGTTTTTGATGTTTTTATGTTGAAATGCTTGCAAACACAAGGTGTTCGGTAGGATTCTGACATGAACGCGCGCGTGTGCTCTTTGTGGTATTTTTTGCAATGGATTATCGCCGTGGACGACAGGACGTCCATGTCGAGAGGAAAAAATAAGAAAAATGTTGATTTCGTATTGTTTTTTTACAGGTTAGGATGGGACCCCCCGGATGCGGCCCCTAATGGCCGGCCTGAGGGGGGAGTAGGAGTATATTCTAATAAGGAATAAGGGTGGGAGTGGGAGTAGGAGTAGGAGTAGGAGTAGGAGTAGTAGTAGGAGTAGTAGTAGTAGTAGTAGTAGTAGTAGCAGTTTGTTGTTGCTATTAGTAGTACGCTTATCATTACGATGAATAGTAATGTTGGTATCGATGTAAATGTTGATACTAGACTACGAATACTATGAATAGTATTAACAAATTAAATACTAATGCTAAAAAATACGAATACGAATATGAATACCAATGCTAATACTCATACTCGTACTAATACTGATATTATGAATGCCCATATTCATATTACTATTATTACTCTTAGTCATATTCTTCTTCATCTTCGTCGTCATCGTCGTCGTCGTCGCCAGTCCTAGGAGAAGAAGGAGCGAACTGAGAAATATAATAAGTTGTATTAAGTCGATTCCCTCCCCTTTTTCCCCTCTTTGACGGGGGGGGTACGGGAGAGGGCACGGGGGGGGGGGGGGGGGCGATACGGGAGGGGGTTCGCGGGGGTGGGTATGGGGAAGGGGTACGGGGGGGCGGGGTCCTGGGTCAGCGTGCCGCCAACCCGCCACCCCCCGACGTCTGTCTTGGCGGGTCCCAGGGGGGGGTCCCCACTGTGGACAAGGGGACACTGTGGTCCACCCCCCTCCAGGGGCTCGCCAACGGGGGTCCCGGGGGAAGCCCCGCCTTTGGTGGAGCGGGGTGGGGTCCCCGGGGGGGTGTCCCGTCTCAGAATACTGCCCCCCTGGGGTCCAAGCGGGTCCCGGGGGGGCACCAGCAGGGGTCCTGGGTTAGGTCCCGCCTTCAGGGTCGGCGGCACCAGCCTTACGGCCTTCACAATACGTCTGAAGTCTTAAGGATGTGAGATCAGAACGAACGGACCCGAACGGTCTCACTTTTTCCCTGCGCGCACGTGGCTGAATGGAGGCCTCCGTCTCTGGGGGCGACACTTGGGCGCAATACTTTTTGCTGCCCGCGACCCCATGTCATCGGCGGTGGACAAACCTCCCTTTAGTAAAACGGTCTGGGACCGAAACCGACGGCCGGACCCGCAAAAATGACGGCTGCGACGCCCTCTCGCGAGCCGAAAACGGCCAATTCCTTAATCAACGTGTCAGGGTACGAGGTCTATCCACCTCCGATGCCAACATGTTCTAGCAATTGATGCAAAGTGGTCGAAGAGCGAGATCTCGAGCAGTACCAAAACAGTTCCGGATATGTTGGTCAGGCGACCACCGTGCCGACGACAGGACCGACAAAAACCCAAACGGTGGGAGGAAGGCGGAGCAGGCAGGGACGCACTGACAGAGCAGAGGGGGGGCCAGGGGGACAGCCAGCTGTCTAGCAGAGCTCGGCCTGAGGAACTCGGACCCCGGAAAAAAAAAAAAAAAAAAAAAAAAAAAAAAAAAAAAAAAAAAAAAAAAAAAAAAAAAAAAAAAAAAAAAAAAAAAAAAAAAAAAAAAAAAACGGGCACTGGGTGCCCAGCAAACGCGACGCTGCCCCGCAGCGACTGACTAGAGCGAACCCTGGCTGAGAACGCAGCCCGGGGTCGGCCTGCAGCGGACGCAAGAACCACCGCGCTGTGCCCAGGCATCCAGCAGCATCGAAACTACCAAGTCGGGGAAGGAGGGAGGGAGGAAAATGAAGAGGACGAGAGAGGGGAGGATGGAGGGGAGGATGGAGGAGAGGATGGATGGAGAGAGGGGAGGATGGAGGGGAGGATGGAGGGGAGGGGATGGTGTATTGCGAGCGTGGTCGAATCAGCCCTTGTAAAATCCACGGGCTGGCATCCCCCAAATGAAGCGACACGCCGGCGTCCACCCCAGGGGGGGAGAGAATTCGCGGGAGAACTGCGACCAGAGGGGGCCCCTCCTCCTCCTCCTCCTCCTCCTCCTCCTCCTCCTCCTCCTCTTCCTCCTCCTCCTCCTCCTCCTCCTCCTCCTCCTCCTCCTCCTCCCCCTCCTCCCCCTCCTCCTCACCCTCCGGACCAGAGGGGGGCGAGAGAACTCGCGGACAGTTTTACGGCACGGGCCGAGTCCAGGGCAAGCGCCCTCCCACGAGCCATCGGCCACGCGGCTGGGACAGCAACAGGCCTGCCGGCCTGGACTGGCCAAATGGCACCCCGCATCCCTGGAGGAGGGAGGAGGAAG